GGATGCGTGTGGTCGCTGGCGATACTTTTGTACCATCTGAAAATAATATTTACATCACCGCATATTTATTTGGGCATGTATGAAAATTCCAGTGCGGGCAATAATGTGCTGCAAAGCTTAAAGGAGCTTTGAACCCGCGTTTTGGAACTTACTGCTATACACAGTATTGACACAAAGTAATTACGTGTGTCGAGCGCGGAAGCCACATGGGTGGTACAACTGTGTCGCGTAGACGTATAGGTAAACGGGAACGAGTCAGGTCTTCGTAAAGCAAACAACGCGAGTTGATTTTGATAACACGGCTCCCGGAGCATACACCTCCTCCAAGGGCGGGAATGGCACCCAAACAAGGACACGTTAACCAGAGGGGGGGGGGGGGGGGCAGTGGGGTAGCTCACCCCTCCCAAATTTGAAAACTGGAGGTTGCATGCAACTTCCATTCTGGCCTGTCGAGGGCTTATTTGGGCTATTTAAGGTCCCTTTTGACCAAAAGAGAGCAATTCTGAATTTGAGAAGGATCATCTTGGCCTGCATATGCCCATTCTGATCTGTATACGGCCCATTATTGACTGTGGCGGGCCATTCTGACCTGTAAAGGCTACATTCGGACCTTAAGAGGGTCATTCTGGCCTGGAAAGACCCATTTTGGCCTGAAGACTACTGATGGAGTCTGCATGGCTAATGGGTCATCTACACTGAGTGTAGATGGCCCAAGAGTGTGTCTGCGCTGAGTGTAGATGACCCATTAAGACGTGCAGATACATTATGATCTAAAGAAGGTTCATTACTTACTGTCGATAGCTGAACTCCATTTAAACTTGTCGAGAGCTCATCCTGGCTTGTAGGAGCTCACTTTCTAATCTTAGAGGGCCCATTTTGGCATTTTGAAGTCACCCTCCAGCTGGGACATAGTTCCCGCGCCCCTGCATCCTAAATCTCTCGGTTACATCGCCGTCAGTTTCACGTGTAACATGATCAGCGCGGCTCTAGTAGTGCACCACAGGGCTGGGCTGGTGATGCGACTGCGTCCGCGGCTGGGCCTGGGCTTATTGCGGCTGGGCTCAAGCCTGGTACCACGGCTGAGTCTGGACCTGAGACCATGGCTGGGCTCAAGCCTGGTACCACGGCTGAGTCTGGACCTGAGACTGTGGCTGGGCGCAAGCCTGGTACCACGGCTGAGTCTGGACCTGAGACTATGGCTGGGCTCAAGCCTGGTACCACGGCTGAGTCTGGACCTGAGACTGAGGCTGGGCGCAAGCCTGGTACCACGGCTGAGTCTGGACCTGAGACTAGGCTGGGCTCAAGCCTGGTACCGCGGCTGAGTCTGGACCTGAGACTGTGGCTGGGCTCAAGCCTGGTACCACGACTGAGTCTGGACCTGAGACTGCGGCTTGGTCTGGACTGGGACTGCAGCTGGGCCTGGGCCTAGGACTGCGACCGGCCCTGGACCGAGAATTGCAACCTCCAGCCTGGTCTCCACAGAGGGTCTGTCACTACCGACACCGACGTAACTTGCCCTTTTCGGGATGTGTAATGTCTCCTTGTTGAATGTTGCCCGGACTGGGCAGGGGGTAACTCCACCCCGCCTTCCAGAAATCCGCCGCTGCTGGCCATGTTATGCCCAGCTACAGCCCAAGCCCCGGCCCCCAACCCGAGCCTCAGTGCCAGCCTTAGTCCCAGCCCAGCCCAGCCTCAGACCCAGACCCAGACCCAGGCCCAGACCTCAGACCCAGACCCAGCCCAGGCCCAGGCCCAGGCCCAGGCCAGACCCTGGCCCTGGCCAGCCCAGGTCCCGCAGGCCCAGGATCCAGCCCCAGCCGCAGTGCCAGTCCCACCCCCAGGCCCAGGCCAAGCCCAGCCGCACCCCTAGTCCCATTTCCAGGCCCAGACCCAGTCCCATGCCCAGTTCCAGTCCAGTCCCAGTCCCAGGTCCAGGCCCAGACCCAGACCCAGACCCAGTCGCAGTCCCAGGTCCAACCGCAGTCCCAGGCCTACGCCTAGCCGCAGTCCCAGGCCCACGCCTAGCCGCAGTCCCAGGCCCAGGCCCAGGTCCAGCCGCAGCCCCAATCCCAAGCCTAGCTGCAGTACCAGACAAAGGCCCATGCCCAGCCGCAGTCCCTGTCTCGGGCCCATGTCCAGGTCCAGGCTCAGCGTTAGTCCCAGGCCCAGGCCTAGCCTCAGTCCTAGGATCCAGGCCCAGCCGCAGACGCAGCCCAACATAGCCCCCGTGATGCACTACGTATCGCCGCGCTGATCACGCCTCGCATGCAGCCGGCGGCAATGTAGCCGAAGGGGATTTGGTTGCGTGGGCGCAGGCACTATATTCAAGTTTGGACAAGCCAAAATGCAAAAACTAACCCTCTGAGAATAGAAAGTGAGCCCCTACAACCCAGGATGAGCTCTCTACAAGTCAGAATGGATTTAAACTCTCGGCAGCAAATAATGAGTCTTCTTCAAGACATGGTGGTCTTGCATGTCTTCATGGGCCATCTACAGGCCAGAGCAAGCTCTCTTAAGGCGAGAATGACCTCTTTAAAGGTCAGAATTGGCGCTGTAAAGGCCAGCGGATGGGCCCGCCACAGTCAATAATGGGTCGTTTACATATCAGAATGGGCCTTTACAGGTCAGAATGTGTTCTGTTCAGGTTCAGAACTGTAGGCAATGTTGTAAAAAAGAAGGCCGCCACTGGCGTTCTTTTTTTCTTCAATTTTACATCACCGAGTATAACTAACCGTCTGATAAAAAGCACGGCATGGAAAATGCGTTGCAAAAAAAGCTGACAACAGGGCCGTTTGAGTGGCATAAAACTCTTTGTAAGACAACTGATGGTGCAGCACTGCGACAAAGTTTTAAACAGACGACAAACTTTACATCACATAGAAACGTCAGCCCACCCCGACGTTTTTGTCGACTTCGGCCTGACACTCGGGTATTTCGAGTGAGATTTCAGCTACTTCAGATGGGAAATGAAACCAACTATGATCTAATTTTGTTCCAACCATGTTTTCGTGCAGTTCCTTGCACCTCGTGTTCCTTACGTTCCATTGTGGGGAGAGCATTGGTGAGACACCGCCTCACCTCGCACATTACTAGGGTATGCGTCCACGTACAGAGGCGTAGCATTTGAAAACTGCAAAGGCGTTTTCTGAGGGCGGTGTCTGACTAAAACTGACACCACCAAAGTCAGCCCCGCGTCGGGTACGGACCTGAGGGGTCACTTCTCAGTCAGTCACAAAACCTGGGCCAGAGATTTACACCGATTAGGGTCCCCGTGTCTGTCAGGGGTCACAGTGCCCAACACAGAGTCCTTTGTCTGCAAAGGGGTCTGAGTAGACCAAATGTAGTGTTCGATTATGCCTGAAGAGGGGCCTGGGAGACCTACCAAAATCGTCAATCAAGGGCTCGGTTCGACATAAGGCCCGAAAAACTGGCTGTAGGTTACACAAGAATCGCGTCCCCTAGGGTCGTGACATGAAATATCAGTTAGAGGTTTCTTGCACCGTTTGAGGACCCTGGGACAATGTGGGTGTCTCAGTCTGTCAGAGGCCACGATCGCGGAACAGCTGGCTCCCTGTTAGTTCGAAACCTGGAGCCCCATTTCCCAAGCAGGAACAAGGTCACGGGCTTTGTTTGAGGAGGTCCGGAGAAGGGCCAAAGGGCTCGAGACCAAAGATCAAGGGCCTGATTGGAGGACCGAAGGGCCCGAAGGGTCTGTTATAGGTTATATAAAGTACGGAATGACGGGCGGACGGTCAAAAGGCCCCGTCTGTAGGGCCGTGATCTCAAACGACATTAAATGGGCCTTTTGTACCGATTGGAGACTCCTGAGACAGAGAGTGCTGTTATTCCGACCAAAGATCACTAACACCGAACAGCCGGCTCATGAGAGGTTCTGAAATCCCGGGGCTCATTTCCCAA